GACCGCGGTTCACGACCCGGACCCGGTGGCTTAAAACTCATGCCGGGCGCGTGTGCGTGTGTGCCCAAGATCCCGAGAGGAGAAGGGATTGTGGCGTGACCATGCCCCCTGGGGTGATTTCTCACTTTCTGTCTCTCTGTCTGTCTGGCGAGTGCACGCACCCTATAGCGAAAACCTCTCAAAAAAAAGAAAAAAAAAAAAAAAAACCAAAACTTTCAATCTCTAGGGGCTGGCAGGGGGCATGTGGTTAAGGGCACTGGACTCCCACATGGCCAATCATGGTTCAAGTCACGGACCTGGCAGCTTGCTTTCTCACTCCCCCCCGCCAAACCTCTCTGGTCAAATTAAAAATGGATAAACAAATAAAGCTAGATAAAATAATTCTTAAAAAAAAAAAAAAACTTCCAATCTCTCAAAATAAATACACATACAAATCATTCACTAAGCAAAACCAAAAGGGTAAACATTTCCTTGCAATTACTTCCAAATGAAGATAATAGTTAACATATTATACCTAGAACATACCAATTCTAAGCACTTCAAATGTATTAACAATCCTTATGTCAACCCAATGAGGTGGGTACAATTAATAGCTTCGCTTTATAAATGAGGAAAGTGAGGCAGAGAGACATTAAGTATTGGGTCGTTGTGAAAGTCATGATGCATTTTTGCATAGAAAACAGAAAAACACGTCATGACTTTCCAACCACCTAATAGCAAACATCATGAAGCTAATAAGAGGCAGAGCTGGGATCCAAACCAGGCAATCTGTTACACTGCCTCATTTACATATTTTCAGGTTGTGGCTGTGTCAAGAGTATTAAAATTGTAACTACTTTCTTGGTACATGATAAGAAATGGTTCCAAAAACAATGCTACATCAAAAATTGGTTTTTTTTTGGTTTTGTCAAAGTAGCTCATTTTCTTTTTTTTTGGAAATTATTTAATTTTACTTATTCATTCATTTATTTTAATTCGACCAGAGAGAAACATGGAGGTGGGGAATGAAAAAGCAAGCCACCAGGTCTAGGACTTGAACCATGGTTGGCCATGTGGGAGTGTCCAGCTCCTTAACACCACATCACCTGCTGGTCCCCCAAAGTAGCTAATTTTCAAAAAACAAAGTCTCACTTTTGCTTTATCCACACTTTAGCAATAGGGAGGTGAGAGGAGCTAAAACTGAGCCTGTAAGAAATCTGTTTTTATCAAGTAACAGCTACCTCCCCCTTTCCTATCCCTCAAGACATCTCAACCACCCTGACTAGAAGACTCATCTAAATCCGTAAAAACAGCCATAAAGAAAAAGACACATGGGGCCAGCAGATGGCATAATGGTTACATCGCTGGACTTCCAAAGTTGACCACGGTTCAAGTCCCAAACCTGGTAGCTTAAAACTCATGCCAGGCAGGACCAGCAGTTGGCATAATGGCTATGTCACTGGACTCCCCTGTAGTCAACCATGGTTCAAGTCCTGGACCCGGTAGCTTAAACTCACACCAGGAGCGTGTGTGTGCATGCCCAAGATCCTGAGAGGAGAATGGAGAAGGGATAGTGGTGTGGCTATCCTCCCTGGGGGGTGATTTCTTGCTTTCTATCTCTCTCTCTTTCTGGCAAGTGCATGCGCCCTATAGCAAAAACCTTTCCAAAAAAGAAAAAACAACGACAACAAACATGCCAGGCCAGTGTGTGTGCATACCCAAAATCCCAAGAGGAAAATGGAGGAAAAGGGATTGCAGTGTGGCCATCCCCCCAGCGGGTGATTTCTTGCTTTCTGTCTCTCTGGCAAAGTGCACACACCCTATAGCAAAAACCTCTCTAAAAAAAGAAAGACATACAGGGAGAAGAAAAAAAGGATGCAGTTATATGTAAGACACTCCTTTTTCCAGATTCAGTATTTCATCTAACTAGCTAATTCACCACAGTTTGCAGGATACCTATAAAGACATTCATTTTGTGCTTCCCATATAGGAGCAAGGAAAGGTCACTAAATACCTCACGCCTCTCATAGACATGCTACTAGAAGGTCTGAAATAGGAAAGCTGTGGAATGAGCAGCAATTTTTCTTTTAAAAGACAGATTTTTGCTATAGGGCATGTGCGCTCACCAGAGAGAAAGAGACACAAACAGAACGTGAGAAATTACCCCCCCAGTGGGATGGTCACACTGCAATCCCTTCTCCTCTGTTCTCCTCTTGGGGTTTTGGGCACACACATACATGCACATGGCAGAGTTTTAAGCTGCTGGGTCCAGGACTTGAACTATAGTAGTCTATGTAGAAGTCCAGTGACATAGCCATCACACCAGCCGCTGGTCCCTGAGCAGTAATTAAAAAAAAAAATTAAATAGGGTATCATGGGCCAGCAGGTAGTATGGAGGTTAAGAGCTGGATCCCACATGGCCAACTGTGGCAGCTTGAAAAATTTGGGGCACATGTGCATACGTGTCCCAAGTTCTGAGAGAAAGGCGAAAGAACTGTGGTGTGGCCACCCTATTCTAGGAAATAATTTCAACTTTCCTTCTCTGTCTCTTCATGAGCACATGTGCCCTATAGCAAACTGAAAAAAAAAAAAAAGAAAGAAAGAAAGAAAGAGGGCATCTTACCGACTGATAGTTATTTGCTTTTACTCTAAGGATAAGTGACAGTACAGAGAGTAGCTTCTGGAAAGGATATGACTACTGGCATGCACCGATACAGAATGAGGTGATTAGGCTTACTAAAAAGACATATAAACCATCCTGGGCCTGGAACTTCTCATTGACACAGCTTCTGGTAACATCCTTATCCTCATTAACTGTGCTCTTCTACTACCTGGCCCTCTACATCTAGAACTCTCTGCTTCAGTAAGAACTAGGCTCCCTTTCATTTGCTTTCTCAGTCCCCAAGAGCTCCATCCATCCATCCATCAATCCACCCACCTATCCATAGTTTGTTTTTTTTTTCTCCCCTCCCCCCCAAGGTACAAACACTAGTCAGAGAGATATATACAGAAGGAAAAAGGAAAAATGAGAAAGCACCACTCCAGGGAGGATGGCCACATGGTGATCTCTTTCTTCTCCATTCTCCTTTTGGGATTTTGGACAGGAACATATACCTGCCTGGTGTGGTTTTCAAGCCACAGGGTCCAGGACTCAAACTGTGCAGTCAGCCATGTGGAATCTAGCCACCTTAACAACCACTCCACTAGGCAGCCTGAACTCCACCAATATTTGAACCCAGTCAAATAAGCATTCTTAACTAGAAAGTGACTGCATGGAGCTCTCCATTTCTAGAAAAACTAATAAATAACGAACTAATACAGAACAGAAAACATCACAATAAAAAGAGATGTTTAAGCTCCTTTCCATCATTCAATAATTGCACAACCCAAGAAATTCAGTCTAATCTTCCTAGCCTTCTCTTACTTGTAAAATAAAATTACCACATTAAGGGACCAGCAGTTAGTGTAATGGCTATGTCGCTGGACTCCCACGTAGTTGACCGCGGTTCGAGTCCCAAACCCAGTGGCTTAAACTCATGCCGGGCGCGTGTGCGTGCCTGCCTAAGATCCCGAGAGGAGGAATGGAGAAGGGACTGCGGCCATCCTCCCTGGGGGGGTGATTTCTTGCTTTCTGTCTCTCTGCCTCTGTCTGTCTGGCGAGCGCACGTGCCCTATAGCAAAAACCTCTCCAAAAAAAGAAAAAAAATTTACCACATTAAAAGCCTTAAGGCAGAAGGTTAGGTCATAGGTCTTTCCTACAAATTACACTTGGGGCGGTAGGTGGTGTGGTGGTTAAGGGCGCTAGACTCCAACATGGCTGACAGTGGTTTGAGTTCCAGAACTGGCAGCTTACTGCCCCTCCCCACCCCATCCCTCTCTAGTCAAATAAATAAAGTTAAACAAAATATTTTTTTAAAAAAAGAATCATTTAGGGACCAGCAGTTAGTGTAATGGCTATGTCACTGGACTCCCACGTAGTCGACCGCAGTTCGAGTCCCGGACCCGGTGGCTTAAACTCACGCCGGGCGCGTGTGCGTGCGTGCCCAAGATCCCAAGAGGAGAATGGAGGAGAAGGGATTGTGGCATGGCCATCCTCCCTGGGGGGGGTGATTTCTCGCTTTCTGTCTCTCTGTCTCTGTCTGTCTGGCGAGCACAAGCGCCCTATAGCAAAAACCTCTCCAAAAAAAAAAAGAATAATTTATTTTAATTGTATTTACTCATTCATTTTATCTTAATTTGATCAGAGAGAGATGGGGAGGGGGAGTAAGAAAGCAAGCCACCAGGTCTGGGACTTTAACCATGGTCAGCCATGTGGGAGTGTCCAGCACCTTAACCACCATGCCACCTGCTGGCCCCCAAAATATTAAAACAAACAAATAAAAAAGACAATTACACTCAACTAGCATTTGTTTCTCCAAACCCTACTTCATACTGGGAGAGGAAATGATGAATGAGGGATATAAGAAAGTAAAAAGCATTATAACTCATGAGGCGGGAAGGCTAAGAACGTTTTGCTTGAGAAATCTGAATGGGAAGACACTATGAGGGTTATTCCATCTCAGCCTAGCATTCAAAATCTTCCAATACAGCTATCCCACTCCAGCTAGTTCCTTTCCATCTATGTATTTTGCTTAGGCTTGTAATCTTGGAAACCTGTACGCCTTCCCATCTCTTGCCTTTTCTCCAAAATCCCAATGTGAAGTCATCTTTTCCATTAGCCTTACCCCACATCAATCCCTCCATCAGTTTTGTATGTACTAAGTTCCTGTTTCTAGCAACTACATATCTTGATTTTTTTTTTCCTAAGCTCTTAACTCTGGAACTGACTCATTATCAAGTAAATCACTGAATAAGCTTCAAAGGTTATTCAGGTTTGGGGAAGAACTTTATTTTTAAGATAATAAACCTGGGGGCTAAGAAGTGTTGAGACTGTGAACACCTGGCTGGCACCAGTTCGTGAACAACCTATGACAGGGAAAGGAAAATAACCACCACCACCCCCCCCCACCACCAAGAGCTACCTGTTTAGGGTCCTGTAGGCGCCTTCCACATTCCCTTCTTGTACCATCACAGTCCTAGCAATGAACTTCAGGTGGTTTGCCATGACTTTGGATTTAAGTCTCCACTTTGCAAGACCTAAAAGACGAGGGGCGCAGAAAGCATAGGGACCAGGTAAGAAAGAGAAACACGACAAATGCTTTACCCTGCAGCTTATCAATAGGGCCTGGAAATGCAACGTGCGCAGGGACACGCGACACGAGGCACGTGTAAGTGTTCAGTTCCGAGGAAGTACACGCGAATCGTTACCAAGACTTCCTCGTTCCCTTCGCCAATACAAGCTCCAGCCCAGGGGAGAAAAGAGCTGGCAGCAGGCGTCACCGGGGAGACCGCGTCGCTGGGCAAGGGAGGACAGGAAGAGCAGGGTCGCCGCAGGATCCACGTCGTCCCCACCCCACCCCCTCAACTACAGCTCCCGGGCCAGGAAGGGCCTGGGCGGAGGTCTGGGAAGGGGCCTCTGTCAGCCTTTGGGAAAGGGGGCCCCAGCGCGCAGACGCGCCCTCCCCCGGCGCCCGCCTTCCCCTCCCCGCCGCACAGGCCCCTCACCCCGCACTCCGCGGGAGCCGACTCCGGGCTGGCCGGCGACCGGAAGCGGAAACTAGGGGAGGGCCGGCGCCGCGCGCAGAGACCCGGGGCGGGGCGGGGGAGAACACAGTGCATGGTAACCATGGCAACGTCCTCTACCGCTCGGGATCTCACTTCAGCGGACCCGGGGCCTGGGTTCTGTACCTGACAGTGCTGGCATCACGCCGAAACACGTCCCTTGCCCTCCCATGGAGTCTTGCCCCGCAGCTTCTGGGAAGGCCCGCCCCATTCCATACCCTTCATCCTACGCCGTAGATACTTAAGCCATTTCCTTTTCTAGATGGAAAATGAGAGCCCTGGGTGAAGCTGGGTCTTCCTGGGATGCTTCCTGTTTTCCTTCGGAAAGGACAGACTCTGTGAGATCTGCTTTCGGATGGAAAACAGCTCCACACCCTTCATCTGTCTAACGAAGGAAAAGAACGGAAAGGAACATACGGCGGCGAGTTTCCCAACGTCATCATCCCAACCATTCACTAAATAAATCATTAAAGATATGGGAAACACCCACAGTATTTAGAGTCAAAGACCCTTTAATGCAGCTTCCATGGCTCTTGTCCCCTAGTGGGACTATAGAATTACCTCCTTTTTTATTCTTCACTGTGGAGACAGCCTTCCTTTTATTTGTACGTTTCTACATAGCCATTTATGGCTACTCACATAAATTTAGATCTAATGGCTATGGAAACATATACTTCCCTTAGAACTCACGCCGCGCGCGCGCACACACACATACACACAGGATCTCCATCAATTATACTAATAGGAACTCATAGAAAAACTTAAGTCCACCTCAGAGTAAGCCAAGTCCAAAGTATAAAAACAGAGCTAATCTGGGACATCCTTATGCTCTTAAACAAACTTCTTTGGAAGGTACTCCTGAAACCATTTCAGAGCCTTGTGGACCACTAGAAGACAGTATATAAACATAAAAGATAAATAGTAAAATAAGGCATATAATGAATGCAAAATTAATTATACAGGCAATAGTGTAATATGGTGGAAAGGCATCAGATTAAAAGTCAAGAGACCTGGATTCTATCCCAGCTGTGATATTTATCAGGCATTTGACCATGAATAAGTCGCTTAAACCAGGGGTCTGCAAACTACTATCAACAGGTCAAATCCAGCTCCACTCCTACTTTTGTAAATATAACTATTTCAAAACAGCCATGCTCAACTGTTTAAGTATAGCTGCTTTGGGCTACAAAGAGTTAGGAGTTGTTGGGGCCAGCAGGTGGCGTGGCGGTTAAAGGTGCTGGACATTCCCACATGGCTGCATGGCCGACCACGGTTCATGTCCCAGACCTGGTGGCTTGCTTTCGCACTCCCACCCCCCCCTCTCTCTGGTCAAATTAAAAAATAAATGAGTGGATAAATAAATAAATATTTTTTTAAAAAAAAGAGTTAGGAGTTGCAATGAAGACAGAGCCTAGATAGCCTACGATATTTACTATCTAGCCCTGCCACATTTAAATTCTCAGTCTATTTCTTCATCTGTAAAATGAGACTAATATCTGCCCTGTTGAGCTCACAAAATTTATAATGGGAATCAAATGGGATAAAATATAAAGATTCTTTGAAAGAAAGGAAAGGGGGAAGTAACATTCTTGAGAGCCTATCATATACCAAATCTGTATCAGGCATTTTATATACATGGTGCCATTTGATGGAGTAAAAGACCAAAGACTCAGTCCATGGATCATGTTTAATAGAAGGAATGAAAGGGAGAGGCACTTGAGTGAGTCACTGAAAGAGAGTAGTGTTTAGATTACAGGATCAGAAAAGACTAGGCAAGGTGAACAGAATGAACAAAAGTTTAGAGAGGAAAAAGCTTACAGCATTTGGACATGAATTAGAAAAATCATAACGGGGTGGGGCAGCAGGTGGCGTGGTGGTTAAGGTGCTGGACACTCCCACATGGCCAACCACAGTTTGAGTTCCGGACCTGGTGGCTTGCTTTCTCACTTTCCCTCTTTCTCTTTGTCTCTCTCTGATCAAGCTAAAATAAATAAATGAATAAATAAAATGAAATAATTTAAAAAAATAAAAATCATAACAGGAATCATGTAGGGCAGTAGAGGGAGAAATAAAAAACTTGATTAAGGATTTTAGACTTCTCATAGCATTGAGGAGCCATTGAAGGATTTGCATAGGGAACCACATGCAAAAACATTGTTCTAGGAAAATTAATCTGGTTATCAGTAAGAAGGGGTTAGAGGTAAGAGACTGTTGTTAAACAGAAAGGTCTGGAGTGATAGGAATGGGATGGAGAGGAAGAAATGGATTTTTTTAGAATTATTTTATTTATTTACTTAATTTTTTTAGAGAGAATTTTGCTATAGGGCATGTGCATTTGCCAGAGAGACAGAGAGAGACAGAGACAGAAAGTGAGAAATCATCCCCCAGGAGGGATGGCCACACCACAATTCCTTCTCCTCCATTCTCCTCTCAGGATTTTGGGCACGCATGCATACATGTCTGGCATGAGTTTTAAGCCACTGGGTTTGGGACTCAAACCACAGTCGACTACTTGGGATTCCAGAGATGTAACCATTACCCCATCTGCTGGTCCCATTAATTTAATTTAATTTATTATTATTTTAATTTGTTATAGGACACATACACTCACCAGAGAGAGAAAGAGAGGGAAAATGAGAAAGCAAGTCATCAGATCTGGGACTTGAACTGCAATCAGTCATGTGGGAGTCCAGTGCCTTAACCACCTGCTGGCTGCAGGTGGATTTTAAGAGATGTTCTGAATAAAGAGTAAAAAGAATTTTGTGACTGAATTGCACTATATTTTAAGTCTATTTATCTAGAAAAATGATGGTAGTATATATAGCACTAACATAAGAGGAGACGGTAAAAAGAAGGCACAAACATGTTTAAAGAAAGAATAATTAGGGGCCAGCAGGTGGCATGGTGGTTAAGGTGCTGGACTCGCACCTTTCAACTGGGATTGTTGTCCTGGACCTGGCAACTTGAAGCTCACAATGGGCACGTGTGCATGTGTGCCCAAAATCCCAAGAGGAGAATGGAGAAGGGATTGCAGTATGGCCATCTCCCCTGGGGCGGGGGTGATTTCTCATTTTGTCTCTCTGGTGCACATACATGCCCTATAGCAAAAATCTCTCTCTAAAAAAAATAATAATTTGATTGGTGATTACTGGGAAAAGTAGTGGACTAGAAACAAAGAGTTCTATACCACATATTGTGTTGTCTTGACCAAGTCATATACGTTTTCTCATCTCTAAAATGAGGGGGTTGGGTTGAACAAGATACAAAAGATATATCTTGGTTTTAAGTAATTTTTGAAGTACCCACAATATGTAAATAGCACTGTCCAGGGAAAATTTAGGAATTCACTATGCTATCTCAGGGGAAAGGTTTGGACCGAATGACGTTTTAGCAGTCTCTTAAAAGTTGATGCAATAATCAAAGTCATGAAAGAAGATGAAATGTTTATATGAAAAGATATAGTCAGATGGCTAGCCGAAGGCAACTGAGGTGGTCCCAGACCTGGTAGCCTGAAAAACACACCGGTATATGTGCATGAAAGCACGAAATCCCAAAAGGAGGAAGAAATGAAGGGATTGTAGTGTGACCATCCCCCACAAAGAAATGCTTTCTCTCTCTCTCTATCTCTCTCTCTTTGGGTCTTTCCAGCATATTCAAGTGCCCTCTGGAAAAAGTTTTTAAAAGAAAAAAAGAATGTAGTCAGAAAAAAGGGCCAAGGTCTGAGTGTAGGGGAACACCTGCTCTGGAATAGGCATAAGTGGAGCCATTAAAAGACCTAGGAGTTTCTGTCAGATAGGTAAGAGGAGAATTAGGATAGTGTGCTGTCATGGGACCCAGGGGAGGAGTTTCACGAGGCAGCATCAAGTGTGTCAGACGATACAGAGAGCATGAAGTACACAGCCTTTTAAAGGCCCCTTGGGTTTAGCTGTTGACTCAGAGGACACTACCTTACAATACTGATTCCGTGGGATCATTCCTTAGTGACTTTGGAAGGTGCAGCAACGTGAAAGTGGTGGAAGCTAGACTGCAAGGGGTTAAGAACTGAGTGGGAGAAAAGAATGAAAGAGTATGATTAGACTATTTTGTGTCGAGAATTATGGAGGAAAAAAGAGGACATTTTCAAGGAGGGAGTCATACCTGTAGGAGAAATAAATATTGGAAACAAGTTGAAGTTACAAGATAAAGAAGGGGTACATGATTCAGCGAAAGTTCAAGGTGAAAGGTAATCAAAAGCACAAATGGAAAGGTTGCCTTATATACATGATGCCATTTGATGGAGTAAAACACCAAAGGAGGGCTTATTTTCTTTTATTGTTTTTGTTTTGTTTTTAAATTTATTTAACTTTATTTATTTATTTCAATTTGACCAGAAAGGGATAGAGTGAGAGAGAGAGAAAGCAAGCTGCCAGGTCCGGGACTTGAACCACAGTCAGTCGTGTGGGAGTCTAGCATTCTTAACCACCAAGCCAGCTGCCAGCCACAAGGAGGGCTTATTTTCTGATGTAAGGAGAGGCAGTTACTGAGAACACATGACTTGAGAAATGGGGAAAGGTGTGTAATTAGCGCTGAGAAGCATGCTAAGATGCTGGTAAGCAGTGATGAAGACCCGACACACTACAGAAGCTCAGCATGGAGAAGAAACAGGTTTAGTGGAGACTGAGGCAAATTAGAGATCAATACACAGGGAAGAGTAAATACAGAAACATTCAGGGACTTATTTTTGCCTCCTGTAACACTGGTTGCCTTCCTTAGTCTAGCTTACGTATTTAGCAGCTGCAGCTTTTTGAGGGAAGACGAGGCCCAGTGTCTGAGGGGGCCCCCAACTCTGACAATTCTAGATCACTCCTCCCTCTTCAAAACTGGCAACCACAGTGGTTCTTTGGGCTCTTGTGCCCCTCCTCTGGCAGCAGAAGGTAACATATGCATTTACAACCAAGCATCAACAACTCCCATCAAAGCAAGCGCTAATTCAGAGCAGAGGAACCTGCTAGTCTGGGCCAGCTGGAAGATTACAAAGGTGAGAGACACAACGGGAGAAACCTGGTTTCTGAGGCTGAATTAAAAAAAAAAAAAAAAAAAAACCCCTGAAGCCTACAACTGTTTCAAGAGTGTTCCCTGGGAACCAGCAGTTAGCATAATGGCTATGTCACTGGACTCCCACCTAGTTGACCGCGGTTTGCGTCCTGGACCCGGTGGCTTAGAACTCACGCCAGGCGCGCGTGCGTGCCCAAGATCCCGAGAGGAGAATGGAGAAGTGATTGCGGCGTGACCATCCCCCCTGGGGGGTGGTTTCTCGCTTTCTGTCTCTATGTCTCTCTCTCTCTTTCTGGTGAGCGCACGCGCCCTATAGCAAAAACCTCTCCAAAAAAAAAAAAGTGTTCCCTACGAAAATGGCAGCAGAGAATCCCTTCTCTCCCACAGGATTTATATTCCCAGTCAGACTCTAACTTGGTAGAGTTCACAAATATTCATATCCCTCTGCTTTATTACTTTTAGTTTGCTATAAGGCATATGCACTTGTCAAACAGAGAGAGAAAATGAGAAATCACCCCCAACCCCCAACCCCCACCCCCGCAGCCACAATCCTTTCTCTTCTCCTTTCAGGACTTTGGGCACACATGCACACATGCTAGGCATGACTTTCAAGTTGCTGGGCCCAGGACTTGAACTGCGCAGTTGGCCACATGGGATCCAGCCTCCTTAACTCCCATGTCATCTGTTGGTCCTTTATTTTTTAAGAAAGAGAGTTTTGCTAGGGACCAGCACTTGGGAGTAACGTCTATGTTGCTGGACTCCCATGTAGCTGACCGAGGTTTGAGTCTCAGACCTGGTGGCTTAAACTCACTTGAGGGAGACCAGCAGTTAGCGTAATGGCTATGTCCCTGGACTCCCACGTAGTCGACTGCGGTTCGAGGCCTGGACCCAGTGGCTTAAACTCATGCCAGGTGTGTGTGCGTGCATGCCCAAGATCCCGAGAGGAGAATGGAGGAGAAGGGATTGCAGTGTGGCCATTCCCCGTGGGGGGTGATTGCTCACTTTCTGTCTCTGTCTTTCTGGTGACCGCACGCATGCCCTATAGCAAAAACCTCTCCCCCCAAAAAACAAACAAACAAAAAAGAGTTTTGCTACATGACAGTCCTAGACCATTCTCTCAGATGGGACTAAATGCACATCTCACCATGCCTAGTTGTTTTCAGACAGGGTGTCACCATATTGCCCAGGCCATCCTCAAGCTTTCCATCCCATACACCTCAGCCTCCCCTACATTCTGGGATTACAAGTGCACAGCTTTGCACCAGACTCCTCAATTGGACAAGAAATCAAATCCACGCCACCCTGAAAGCCCTAGCCTGCAGAGCACAGCATCCTAGCACATACTCCAACTGGCTAGGTTCCTCTTTTCTGTGGCTCAGAGAATCAAAACTGATATTTGAAGCAGAAAGTTAACTTCCCCCAATCGGCAAGCATTGTACAGGTTAAAAAAAAAAGTCTTTAATCAGAAAGGGTTTGTCTTCTCTCAACACAAATACACTCATTAAAAGTAAAAAATATATACAGATATATTTACACAAATTAGAAACCATAAAGACAGTTGCACACCCTAGGTCAGGGGTTGAGAAGATGAGCGTCAGGAGCAACTGGAGGATGGCTTCTCATCTGCTGTTCTAGACGTCCTGTGGTCATTTCGCTGGCCATGCTGGGTAGACTAGAAGGGGACAGGGAACAACTCCAGTCTGATGGCAGAGTTACTGGCAAACTGTGGCAACGAGGCCCCCCTCCAGATAGTGTTTTAGAATCGCCAGGGACGACAGGAGCTGCTGAAGTAGGTGGAACTGGAGTAGCTGGGGCAGAGTGAGTGAAGGGCTGTACTCCATGTTGGAGGAAAAGGATGACCCCAAAGCTGGTTCCAGTGCCTAGAGTACCATGGCTCATGGAGACTGTATCTGGGGAACTGAGGGGGGGATTGCAAATTGGAGTGGTGTGGATCCAGGTAAGGTTCATAGCTGGCCATTCTGTGAGGTGCCAGGGCTGCTTTGGTTTCAGAACTAGATGTCCCAGCTGTGTCTGGCCCATCTTTTCCACAGGAGGTGCAGGAGAGGAAGCTGCTGAATCACTGTGGTGGCTTGGAAAATGCTAGGGACAGAGAGAAATGAGAAACGAATTGTGGAGAACAGCTTTCAGATGAGTTCTGCCTGGCTGCTCAAACCTTTGTTTTCCTTGGGAATTCAGTGCAAACACCCCTTGTTTAATTCAACAGATATGTTCTTGCCAGACCACAGTAAATAAAATGTTAGTAACCAAATTATACTTCCATCTATTCACGTAATATTTGAGGGTCTACTATGTATCACATACTATTTTCAGACACTCAATATACAGAGATGAAGAAGACAAGTAGTCCCATAGTTGTTTTTATTTTTTAACATATTTTTTGCTATAGGACATGTACACTCACCAAAGATGAGAGAGAGAAAAAGGAGGCACCAACCATGTCACAATCCCCTCTCCTCCTCCTCCTCCTCTCAGGCTTCTAGGTGGGCATGCATGCACATGCACCATGTTTTTCAAGCCTCTGAGTCCAGGACTTAAACTGCACAGTCTGCTATACCACCTGGCTAGCCCTAGGTTTACACTACTTATAAAAAATAACTTTCTTCAAAATTATTTAAAGGAAAGTTTATTTTTTTAAAGAACTGTTTTATTTAACTTTACTTATTTATTTAGATTTGACCAGAGAGGGACAGAGTGAGAGAGAGAGTTAAGGAGTTTGAAAGCAAGCTACCAGGTCTGGGAATTGAACCATGGTGGGCCAAGTGGGAGGCCGGTGCCCTTAACCACCATGCCATCTGCCAGTCTCTGGAAAGTTTATTTTTAATTGGAATCATTTACCAGCTTCTGTTATCTTAAATGATAATTTTCTGTTAAATTCTTCAATAATTGTAAATTAATACATTGGCAGAATTTTGCAGCTTTTTGAAAAAATTTGCCAGAGGATACATGTACTCGCCAAAGACAGAGAAGGAAAAGAAGAAAGCACCCACCCATGGTGCGTGGTCATACCGCAATCCCTTTTTCTCCATTTCTCCATCGCGTCGGGATCTTGGGCACACGTGCACATGCACCCCACATGTTTCTCAAGCCGCTTGGGCAGGGACTTGATCAGCATGCTTGACCATGTGTGATCCAGCTCCCTTAACCGCTGGAACACAGTGCTGGCCCTGCTGCTTGTTTTTAATAAATTATTCTCACAGCAATAGTAACTGCGGCTGATTGGAAGCAAGTGCGGGCCATTATCTACAGGAGACTCTGCGCTCCATCGGTTGAATGCTCTCTAAATACCCTATTATTTGAAGATCTATAGGAACTAGGTCACCTCCACACCAGGTCTGAGTCTAAGACCCTGTGCTCTCCATATGGGTGCCTCACGAGTGCCCTCTCCCCAACTCCCAGTGACCTTCTAAGGCTAGTCCTTGAAACCTTTGAGTGTAGACTCAAAAGCTTTCAGAGGTTTTGGTACAGGAATACTCCAGCAGGAGTGAGAAGAGGAAGAAGGAAGGAGTTTAAGTACAGCAGAGAAGAAAGTATTTGCAGAGAGATACCAAACCACCTTTCCGCATGAATCATCTGGCCAGGTTTAAAAGCCTTCTGTATCTGTGCAGAAAGCAGATAAGCTGCAACATGAGGGATAGGATTAAACTTCATGGAGTTCTTCCCAGTGATACAAACAAAACAAACAAAAACATCTAGAAATCAAGACAGTGCAGAAAGCTGAGGCATTCCTTCTCTACAAAGTGAAAAAGACCAGAAGAAAATGGAAGGGGGTGCCCATTTCTGTATGCACATCTCATCTACTTGGTTTTTCTCCCCTCTCCCTCAGGTACTTAAAGTTCTTACCTTGGTCAGCTGATGGCTTCTATCACCCAGTGACAACTTCTGGGCAGCTATATGAGGAAACCAAGTCTTTAACATCCCTTCTACCTGTAACAGGGTTCCTAGATAACGTTCCCTGTAAAAAGGGCATTTAAAAAAGTCATTAAGTGTGAAAAATCAAGACAGGACTGGAGATAGCACCTTTGTATGATGCACTGGGGGAAAAGGCAGGAGGAACTTACCCCATCTGTGGCTTCTGCAAAACACCTACAATACGCTGGATCCTGTCCATTGCCACACTCTGCTGGAAACTGCTTAACCCTGAGGTCAGGGAGAAAGAAAGGGAGATCAAGGTCTGAGGTTCAGGCAAGAAAAGAACAGGAGGAGGGCTTTTGTTTTAGTTTATTAACTTATTTATTTTTAATTTTCCACAAGGAGCCTGTGCTTGCCAGAGACAGACAGAGAGGAAGAGAGAAAGCAAGGGAGAAAACACCTCCAGCGGGGATGGCTGCGCCACAGTCCCTTCCCCTCCATTTTCCTCTTGGCATGTGGGGCACACACCCACACACATGCTGTGTGTTTTTCAAGCCACTGGGTCTGGGACTCAAAAGTGACAGCTGGCTATATGGGATCCTGCCACCTTAACCATCATGCTACCAGCTGGCCCCAGAAGGAGGTTAAAATCGTTCTCCTAAATAAATTAAGTCACAGAAGCAAAAAGAGAAATAACACAGTGCCCCCTCAAAAAAAATTTTTTTTTATCTTGAGAATTTTTAAAAATTATTTTATTCAATTTTATTCATTCCTTCATTTATCTTAATTTGACCAGAGAGACACACAGAGAGAAAGGGGAAAGTGAGAAAGCAAGCCACCAGGTCCAGGACTTAAACCATGGTCAGCCATGTGGGAGTGTCCAGTGCCTTAACCACCACGCCACCTGCAGCCCCCCCAAAAAAAATCTTAGAGAAAAGCACATATAAAAGAAAAAACAGGAACCTAAGCCAAATGCAACTAATCAGATAGTTACCTCTCTCAAAACGACCCATCTTCAGCCCATTCAGTAGGTCTGTGAGTGGGCGTATAAACCCTTGGAGTTCCTTACACTGCAGGAAAATAGAACAAAGGCTATGAGTAGACCAAGAACTGCCCACACCAGTCGTAAATCTTCCTCCACCTCCAAATCTGGGAGCCAATACCACCCTCAAAGCGCCCTTATCAACCAGCTGGGTGCTAAGCCACTCCAGCAGAGGCTCCTCCTGCTTTCTCTTACCTTCTGAGCAAACAGCAGGTCTCCCTCTGTGGTACCACCCTGGATGTTCAGACTGGTCTCCAATTCATCATCTCTTGCTTTTTTGACCCCAGATCCTGCCATAGGAGAAGCCATGCCCCGCTGTTCCAGGCGAGATCCTGTGTGTTGGTTACTGGAAACCTTGGATCGATGCCTGCAGCGGATAGGACCCGGGCTGGGCCGAGAACCTCCCCTCTGCCCAACAGTGTCTGGCCTGGGCCCATGGGCCCCTTTGTCCTCCCTCTCGCTATCAGAGGGGAAGCCAAAGTCACTGTTCACTGGGGAGGTGGAAAAAGAGGAAGACAGAGAATAGGAGGAATAGGAAGAAACGCTAGATGGAGACTCCATAGGTCCAGAGCAGGGGCTGGAGGGCAGCTCCTGAAACACCCAAAGATCGGAACCTGCAACTGAAGAGCAAAGCGAGGGAGTTTGAAACCAGAGTCTAAGGATTCGGAAACGGACTGGGAGACTGACTGGGCTGCGCTGGACGGTACCTGCACTCCAACTCCCCAATATTACGTGTCTTGGAGACAATAGAAAAAGTCATCTCCCCAAGCCCCGCCTCCACCAATTAAGAAACTGGGGCTGCCTCCCTGGCCTCGGCAGAGCAGCTCTTGGCCTGACACCGCTTCTGTTCTTTTCTTCCCTCGGTTCAGAGTACCTGATTTGACACCTTCCCGTCCGCCCGCTGAGATCCTGGGCTATTCCCCAGCCTGACCTAGCAGCGAGTCTCGTGCCTGAGGCCCCGCCTCCGGCACTCCGTAAATCTGGGCACCCAAACCCACCTAGTGACCCCACAGGAACCTCCGCGGTAGAGACCTGCCGCCCACCCTTTTCCAATCTATCACCATTAGGATCCCTGAGCGGGTCCTTCTGCAGTCGCGCCTGCCACGTGATGCAATCCCTCCCAACACCACCGTCTGCTTTCGGTCCCCAAGCCCACTCACTCTGGGTCCAGACGTCCCTAGTGGCTCAGCTGCTCGCTCTTCCTCCGAGTATGCTCACCTTAATCAGTCCGCTCAGTCTAAGCTCTGTCTCCAGCTCCTACTCAGTCTCTCCCGGCTCGGCCAGCCCCCCAGTCGCGCCTGCCACGTGATGCAATCCCTCCCAACACCACCGTCTGCTTTCGGTCCCCAAGCCCACTCACTCTGGGTCCAGACGTCCCTAGTGGCTCAGCTGCTCGCTCTTCCTCCGAGTATGCTCACCTTAATCAGTCCGCTCAGTCTAAGCTCTGTCTCCAGCTCCTACTCAGTCTCTCCCGGCTCGGCCAGCCCCCTCCGCCTCTCGCCCCTTCCCCCCTCCCAGACACGTGCGGCTCGGCACGTGCCTCTCCCTGCGTACACAGATCTCGCGCCCTCACTGGTTGTCTAGCCTGTAACACGTGACTTTAGTTTCTAAAGTTCACAGCCCATTTGCTACAGCACACAGGGGCTCGGCCAATAGAGAGGCAGCCAGTTGGTGATTGGCTGGAAGGGAAGCATTCCGTGCTCCGCCCCTACATGCGGCTCTCGGGAGGACCCAGTGAGCAGAGCAGAAGGAGGGTGGAGAAAGAGTGCAAGAGGAGGAAAGGGCGGGACCCGTGGCCTTAAATAGGATGGTGATGCTCCGGAGACGCGCGACTTGAATGTCCAGAGACTGGTTGTGCAACTTGAGGCGAGCGCCCTGAGACGTGGGTTCTCCCCCCTCCACACACACACCCCGTTCTGACTCCGGAGCTAACTCCCGCCCCCTCTTTGAGCGCCTCTGCTCACGAGTGCAGCACGTGGAAACCATCCGCGGCTTGTGTCTGCAACGTGTGTGAGAGAATGGATGGGTGATACCGTGTATCTTCTTCCTCTCTCGGCGACCAGCCCTCGTGACTCCCCATCTCTGCCTCACCCTCCCCTCTTCTCTGTCCCAAGTTGGGTGCCTCCTGCCCAGCTGGGTGAAGAGGGTGGGGACTGCGGCCGAGAACACCGCGTCCTCTCCGGCCTCCCGTTGGGGCGGCTCCTCCAGCTCTTTTCTTACATAACCTGCCACGCACGTTACCAGCTCAGATGCCAGCCCAGCTCTAGAGGTCAAAGCTGAATTCGGTTGTTCCTGACTTTTCTGCCCGGGCTACTCGAGCCTTGCGTCCTAAATTCTCTGATTCCCAGTACCAGGAACAGAGGGGGGCAAATCCTGATCTCCTACGTTACGGCTTTGTCCAGCTTCCCTTTCTTCATCTGTCCGCTGGAGAAGATTTGAAAGGCTTTGAAGGGAGGACGGTGGCAGAGGGAAGGTCTAGAGTTTTATAGAGTCTGGAAAGTAACTGGGAATTTACTATTGGTTTCCCCTTGCAGTATTGAGCGAGCACAATGGAGAGAAAGGGGAGCCCACGCACTATCGGCTGACTGAAGACACGACATTGAAGAGACCGCAAGGGGGCAGCCCAGTTCTAATTAGGGCTCCAAAGAGAGAATTTAAAAAAAAAAAAAAAAAAAGGAAGAAAGTATATCCCTGACATAATTACTAAGTGGAGAAGGCACGTTTTGGACTGGGATGGGGGAGGGGGAGGAAGCAGGTGTGAATATTTATTCTAAGTAGTTTTTTATATTTTATATAAGTTTAATGATGTGTTTATTTTAGAAAAAGAAAGTATTCCACTCTGTTTCCCCAAGGACACTGCCTCAACATTATATCTAATAAAATGAAACAATAGAATTAGGGGCCAGCAAGTGGTGTGTTAGTTAAGGCACTGGACTCACACCGTTAACTGGTTTGAATCCCCGACCTAGTGGCTTGCTTTCTCTTTCCTCCTTTCTCTGGTGAGTGCCCGAGCCTTGTAGCAATTTTTAAAAAATAATCACAATGATAAAATTAATTCTTTTAAAATGACAACAATAGAGTTATAGGGAATTATGACTAGGAATAAACCTGTTGAAGTGTGGGTGCTCTTCTCCATTCTTCCAAAATTTCTTCTTTACTCACAGCTCATAATCTCCTCTGACTTTATTGTCACTGAACTTCCATTCTAATCTACCCTTCCTGCCCCCAAATCTTGGTCCTCTTTTTAGTGCTCTGACTTTCAAACAGAACCTTATGAAGAAGAAGACAGTAACCAGATTATTTTATTTTTATTTTATCTTACAATTTTCTCTTGTTAAACTTCCATCCAAAGATTCATAATAGCCTTCTATCACCTAAAAAGGCAAACAATGAAGAAAAACAAAAATATAAAAACAGGGTTGGGGGACCAGGAAACCCTTTCGTGCCCTCCGCCTCTATGAAAACTCCTCAGGTTTCATATCCTGAGCTGGAATTTTTCTATGACATCTCCTGGAAAAGGTGTGTCTCCTCCCTTCCTGACTCTTTCTGCTAAATCTCTTTATGGCCAGTAGTTATTTAGAATCCTAACTTAATCCCTTTCCTATAGTGCTGCTTTCTTTTCCCTCCACCTTTTCCCACTATCTCCTGTATGTTAAAGAATTTCTACCCCTCTGCCTCTGAACTTTGCCTTTTGACTCTACCAGATTGTAGGACCTGCTCATTTGTCCTCTGGCACCTGTCATGCCTTGAAACAAGGCCAGGCTGGAACCAGCCCAGATTCCTGAAGGCACACTCGAAGCCTGAAGAGATTTGTTTTCCCTCCATTCCACCTGTGCCAGCTCTAGGAGGTACCCAGTGCCTCCCAGTTCAGAAAAAATAATGACTCATCACAAAGGGACTTTACATTAGCATTTTCTATACATCCTTAGGATTCAATAGTAATTTTCTAAATTGATCCCTCTTCATTCTTTAAGAAGCTGAGAATCAACCAGGTTGGAAATGTTAGCCAAAGATACTGGTGTGAATTGTTTCAAAGAATTCCCCAACGCCAGTGGCTGTACTCTCACCTGCTACATGAAATACATCCCCCCCTGAACGAGGGCCCACGACACGAGGAAGGGAACAGGACTCTGCAGACTGGACACAGCATCATTCAGATCTGGATTCTGCTAAAATACAGACATCACCCACAGCAGGCCAGTGTCATCCTTCCTACCACTTCCCCCTCCCAGTCTGGGGTAGCTATCTCTTTATACCAACTCTGTCTTCCTTTCCTCTGGACTTAGAGGAAGATCTGGCCCTCCTCCCCATCACGACAAGGAATCCCTTCCTCTGTGTGTGTTAGCCACTGCTGGTCATTTTAAGAGGCCAATTTGGCCAATTCAGGTCAGTGACACCTATTTTTGATCTATGTGTACATGACATCATGTTAGTCACTATGCTGGGTGCTGTGGGGAGGTATAATATGAATAGTACATGATTCTTGTCCTCAAGGAGTTTATAATCTAAAGAGAGCCTATTTTATATTCTAAAATGTTTTCCCTGTCCTAGGCCTGGCAGGTGGTGTGGCAGTTGAGGTGCTGGACTCCCACATGCCAAACCATGGTTTGATTACTGGGCCTGGCAGGTTGCTTTTTCACTTTCCCTCTCTTTCTCTCTGTTTCTCTATGGTCAATTTAAAAAATGATAATGATAGGGGCCAGCAGGTGGCATGGTGGTTAAGGGCACTGGACTCCCACATGGCCAACTGCACTTTGAGTCTTAGACCTGGTGGCTTGCTTTCTTGCTTTCTCTCTCTCTGGCCAAATGAAAATAAATAAGTACATAAAGTTCAATAAAATGATTCTTTAAAAAATGGTAACGATTGCCAGCAGGTGGCATGGTGGTTAAGGGCACTGGACGTCCACATGGCCAACTGTGATTCAAGTCCTGGACCTGGTGGCTTCCTTTCTCGCTACTCTCTCTCTCTGGTCAAATTGGAAAATAATAATAATAATAATATAATAATAAAGCTAAAATAATTCTTTAAAAAATGATAACGATAAATAAAATAATTCTTTTTTTTAATAAAATCATTCTTAAAAAAAATATTTACCTGTCTTTATGGTCAATCTGCTTTCCATTCCTACTGGCTCTTCTTTTTCTTTTTTAGACAGAGATTTTTGCTATAGGGTGTGTACAGTTGCCAGAGAGATGGACAGACAGAAAGCAAGAAATCACTCCCTGGGGGGATGATCATGCTGCAATCCCTTCTCCTCCATGGTCTCGGGATTTTAAGCATGCACGTACACACGCCCAGTGTGAGTTTCAAGCTGCTGGGTCTGGGACTTGAACAATCTTGACTATGTGGGAGTCTAGCAACATAACCATTAAACCATCTGCTGGTCCCACCTACTGGCTCTTCTTATCTATGTTCACCTATATGCAGGCTGATTGTTGGTCCTCTTGCCCTTTCCAGTTGTTGCTTCTTTCTCATTACTGCTTTTTTCTCTTTTTTTTAAAGAATTTTTTATTGGAGAGCTTTTTGCTATAGGGCATGTGCACTCGCCAGAAAGACAGAGACAGAGAGACAGAAAGTGAGAAATCACCTCCCAGGGGACATGGCCACGCCACAATCCCTTCTCTATTCTCTACTCGGGATCTTGGGCACACATGCACATGTGCCCGGCATGAGTTTAAGCCACTGGGTCCGGGACTCAAATTGCGGTCGACTACATGGGAGTCCAGTGACATAACCGTTACACCAACTGCTGGTCCCTTAAATAATTATTTTATTTATTCGTTCATTTATTTTAACTTGACCAGAGAGACACACACACACACAGATTGAGAGAGAGAGAGAGAGGGAGGGAAAGTGAGAAGCAAGCTACCAGGTCCAGGACTTGAACCCTGGTCAGCCATGTGGGAGTGTCTAGTGCCTTAACCACCACGCCACCTGCCAGTCCCATTTTTTTTTTCCAGATGGTTGATCTGTACTTGTCTCCATGCCCTTATAATGGACTTCCCCCCACTTTTTAAAAAAAATTTATTTGCTATAGGGCACATGCTTTTGCTGGAGAAAGAAAAAGGGAAAGTGAGAAAGCACCTCTCAGGGGGGGACGGCCATGTTGCAGTCTCTTCTCCATTCTCCTCTTGGGATTTTGGGTATGCACACACATGAATCCAACATGTTCTTCAGGCCTCCAGGTCTGGGACTAGAACTGTGTACTCAGCCATGCAGGTTCCAGCTGCTCCAACCACCGTGCCACCAGCTGGCCCTGGGTGTCTCCCTCTTTAAGTCTATAAAATCTAGCTTTTCCCAGTCACTCAATTAAAATTACTTTCTCGGGAGTTAATAGTGACCTCCTTCTCCTTGACCTCTCAATAGCTATTGGTTGACAGCATTAAACTTTCTCTTGCAGATTCTGTAAACTTGGCTATCTGCCTACCTCTTCCATCCATCTTTCTTTTTCTTTTTCTTTTCCCTTGGAGAGGTTTTTGCTATAGGGCGCGTGTGCTCACCAGAAAGACAGAAAGAGATAGAGAGACAGAAAATGAGAAATCACCCCTGGGGGGTATGGCCACTCTGCAATCCCTTCTCCTCCATTCTCCCCTTGGGATCTTGGGCGGGCACGCACACACAGGCTCCTGGAGCGAGTTTAAGCCACTGGGTCTGGGACTTGAACCCGGTCAACTACATGGGACATAGCCATTATGCCAACTGCTGGTCCCTTGATCCATCTTTACGTCCTTGGTTGACTCCTCTTTCTCCTGCTATTACCTGTAGGGGCAGTTGTTGGCCCTCGGTTCTTCTGTGCATACTGGCCCTGCTGAACTCACTCACTATTGTAACTGTGACTTTGTACTTAGAACTCCATCTTTATCTAATTCATCTACCTTTAGGACACTGTTTTAGGACTGTCACCATAAATTCAGCTTGGCCAGTATCAAATGCATAACTTCCCTCCTAAATTACTCAGGCCTCCCATAATTCCTGTTTTAGCCGCTTTCTGACATCCATGTTTAAAACCTACATGCTTCGTTTCCTCCCATATGAAATTACTACTGAAGCAAGGCATTTTCTCCTAATTATTTCTTTTTTTTCTACCTTCCATTCATGGTGCCACTTCTATAATCCAGGACTTCAACAGATTGTTTGTGTGGCCAGCAGGTGGTGGGGTGGTTAAGGTGCGAATCTCCCACACAGTCGATCATGGGAAGAGCCCCAGACTTGATATCTTGCTTTCTCACTTCCCCTCTGTGTCTCTCTCTCAAGTGAGTGCATGTGCCCTATTGCAAATTTTAAAATAATAACATAGAGCCCACAGGTGGCATGGTGGTTAAGGTTCTAGACTTCCACATAGCTAACTGTGCTTTGAGTCCCAGACCTGGTGGCTTGCTTTCTCATTTTCCCTTTCTCTCTCTGGTCAAATTAAAAAATAATGACAAGATGTAAAATTAAATAAATAAATATATTTTTTAAAACAATAGTAAATAAAAATTTTAAAATAGAGACCAGCAGTTGGTGTAACAGCTATATCGTTGGACTCCCATGTAGTCAACCGCGGTTTAAGTCCTGGACCTGGTGGTTTAAACTCATGCCCGATGTGTGTGCATGCGTGCCCAAGATCCCGAGAAAATGAAGGAGAAGGGATTGCAGCGTGGTCGTTTCCTCTTGGGGGTGATTTCTCGCCTTCTGTCTCTCTGTCTCTCTCTGTCTTTCTGGAGAGTGGATGTGCCCTATAGCAAAAACCTCTCCAGAAAAATTTTTTAAAATAGAACTGATTATTAAAAAAAAAAAAAAGATTGTGGAACAGTGCAAATTTCATGAATCTCTCTCCATAAAATTAAACCCTATATTCAACTGTATTCAGATGAATAATTTTTCTTTTCATTTTAAAAAATTATTTTATTTAATTTCATTTATTGATTCATTTATTTTAATTTGACCAGAGAGAGAGACCGAGAGAGATGGAAAGTGAGAAAGGAAGCCATTAGGTTCAGGACTCAAACCATGGTTGGCCATGTGGGAGTGTCCAGCACCCCAACCACCACGCCACCTGCTGGTCCCCAAGATGAATAGTTTTTCTTAAATACCATCTTTATCATGTCTACCATACTGAAGAATGTACTGTGCTATTGCTTATAAGTTCAAACTTGAGGGACCAGCAGTTAGTGTAATGGCTATGTCACTGGACTCCCATGTAGTCGACCGCAGTTTGAGTCCCGGACCTGGTGGCTTAAACTCATGCCGGGCGTGTGTGCGTGTGTGCCCAAGATCCCAAGAGGAGAATGGAGGAGAAGGGATTGTGGCATGACCTGAAAGATTAAAAGATATGAAAGAAAGCATGGAAAGCAGCTGTGGATACCAGAGACAGTATGTGAGGAGGGCGTGAAATGAGGGGGGCAGGTAGAGGGAGTCAAAAAAAAAAAAAAACTTGAGCCTGACGCTTTAGACTATAAATTTGGCCCTATCTGTTATATGTGAAATCAAGCAAATATTAGGAATCTTGTAACTCTTTTTTCCTAGTTCCTTCTGTCCTCCATATTCCCTCTCCTTCCATTATACCCCACTCACTAATATACCTTGCTTGTTCTATTTTCTTTGTCCACAGCAGCTTTTTCACTCTAGGAAGAACTCTTCTGCCTCCCAATTGCTTTCATCCTTTCATTCCCCCCAATCAAAAGCTCCCGTTATTGGGACCAGCAGTTAGTGTAATGGCTGTGTCTCTGGATTCCCATGTAGTCAACCGTAGTTCAAGTTCCGGACCTGGTGGCTTAAACACTGGGCGCTTGCGAGTCCATGCCCAGAATCCCAAGAGAGAAATGGAGGAGAAGAGATTGGGGCGTGGTCATCTCCCCCCCACCCCGGAGGGGGGGGGAGGTGTGATTTCTTGCTTTCTGTCTGTCTCTCTCTGTCTTTCTGGTGAGCGCACACACCCTATAACAAACCTCTCCAGAAAAAAAAAAAGCTCCCTTGTTCTTTAAGGTGTATCTCCAGCACAATCCCCTCCAAAAAGCCTTCTAGACAACTCGAGCCTTTACTGATCTCCTTACCGTGGCTAAAGCATTCACTTATGTCAGATGCTCTCAAATTTATGTGCAATTTAATATGCATATCTAAATCTTTCATAAATGTCCACTTTAGTTTTATAAATTCCTTGAGGGCAGTAGCAGCAACATAGATTTCTTTTTCATAGCATCAGCATCCTCCGCAGCCTTGGGCATGGATTACATACCCATTAAGTACTACTGGACTGAAATTTCACTCCACCGAGTCTTCCCAATGTGCTATATAGAGGGTTATTATGAAAGCTCAGTGAAAGATAACGATGGCCAAACTGAGATGAGCATCTGATTGCAGCGTTAGTTATTTCAGTCTCCCATTCATCGAAGCCTGGTTTTCCAGCCCTCCGTCTACTCCACATCACCACCCCTGGGATCTACTTAGTGTAAGGGACATTTTGTTTCCCTCCCTCCAATCCCCAATCAACTCACTGGTTCCATTGTTGCTGGTCTCACAGTTACAGGTTTCTGCTGGTCTGCAGGCTCTGTTTCAAGACTAATGGTAGTCTCTATTGCTTCCGTTGTGACCTCATTGTCCAGCATGTTCTGCCCTCAGCAGGATAGGGAAATACAAGCGTTATCTCCTCCATCCAGCATCCTCATGGATTTTCTATTTAGAGATGTTTTTTCCTTCACCCCCTTCCCCCAACAAAATCTTAAGTTCAGGTATTCTCTCTACCCTGTGCTTGCAAATTTTATGTACCCATTCATGCAACAAATCCCTTGATTCAAGGACTTCCCTCTTTCTCAGTATCTTAGCAAACCTACTGGTGGTCCTGGCTTCCTTCTTCTCTCAGACATGGCTAACAAATCTGTTGGTCTCACTACCCAATTTCTCAGCCTCTAGCTCGTTTTGGTTCCTGCTAATCAATTGTACTTCAACATCGCCCACTTTCTTTTTGTTATTTAGCCTGACCCTCTTAAATGTAAAGTGTACTCACAAGCTTGTCCTCTAACTCAAATGCAGAGTAATCAATAGTGAAATTTACACCCAAGTCATCTGGGGAAGAGAAAAAAAAATCATTAGTAACGAAGGAGATCTAACTCTAGATCCAGAAATGAAAGAAGAGAAAATTCTTCCGAACACCTCAATTTGCTCAAGTTGTAAAATTTGTTAGTATAATCCGATTCAAATTTTTTAAAAAAGAACTATTTATTTTATTTATTATTATTTTAAAATTTGACCAGAGAGAGGCAGACAGAAAGAGAGAAAAGGAAAGTGAGAAAGCAAGCTGCCAGGTCTGAGACTCAAACCGCAATTGGCCATGCAGGAGTCCAGTGCCTTAACTACCATGCCGCCTGCCAGCCCCTCAAATTATTATTTTTTAAAGAATTATTTTATTTAACTTTATTATTATTATTTTCCAGTTTGATCGGGGGGGAGGGGATGAGAAAGCAAGTCACCGGGTTTGGGACTTGAACTGTGGTCGGCTATGTGGGAGTCCAGTGCCTCTAACCATCCATGCCACCTGCTGGCCCCCCATAAAATTATTATTTTTTTAAAATAATCATTTTCTTTAATGTTATTTATTTATTTATTTTAATCTGACCAGAGAGGGACAGAGAGAGAGAGAGAGAGAAAGTGAGAAAGCAAGCCGCCAGGCCCAGGACTCAAACCACAGTCGGCCATGTGGTAGTTCAGTGCCCTTAGCCACCCTGACACCTACTGGCCCCTCAAATGATTTTTAATGTAAAAAATATTTGTGAATGTGTGTATATTTATATTTTCAAGCTAGTACTTAAAATAATTTACAAATTTATTAAATCTCAAGTCAATTCAGACATTTTTTTAGAAGATACAGTATCCATTTTTTAAAAAAGAATTATTTTCTTTAACTTTATTTATTTATTTATTTTTATTTTGCCAGAGAGGGGAGAGAGAGAGAGAAAATGAGAAAGCATGCCAGTTCTGGGACTCAAACCCCAGTCGGCCATGTGGGTATACAGTGCCCTTAACAACCATGCCACCTGCCAGCCCCAGTTTAACCATTTTCGAAGGATTAAAAGTTGCAGGAACCAGCAGTTAGCGTAATGGCTATGTCGCTGGACTCCCACATAGTTGACCGCGGTTCGCATCCCGGACCCGGTGGCTTAAAACTCACGCCAGGCACGTGTGTGTGCGTGCCCAAGATCCCGAGAGGAGAATGGAGGAGAAGGGATTGCGGCGTGACCATCCCCCCTGGGGGGTGATTTCTCGCTTTCTGTCTCTATGTCTCTCTCTGTCTGTCTGGCGAGCGCACATGCCCTATAGTGAAGACCTCTCAAAAAAAAAAAAAAAAGGATTAAAAGTTGCTAGCTTGAGAAATAACATCGTTAGTCTTGATAATTTTTTGTTCATAGCTGAATTTCTCTGACCCAGTTGCACTGTTGCAAAATGAAAGGCAAAGTCTCAGAATTAAGTATCCCCAAAGTCTTTCTCCACTCCACTAAGGGTCAGAGTCTTTCACGTACTCACCGTAAGTGGGGGAGACTGTGTAATAATAGACCATCTGATAATAATCATCTTCTTCCAGTATTTCTTCATCCTTGTATTCTTGTCCTATGAGGACAAAGACTACAGGTCAAAGGGCATCTGGAATTTATTTCTTTCTTTCTTTCTTTCTTTCTTTTTTGGAGGTGTTTTTTGCTATAGGGTGCATGTGCTCCCCAGAAAGACAGAGAAACAGAGAGACAAACAGAAAGCAAGAAATCACCCCCCACACACAGGGGGATGGCCACGCCACAATTCCTTCTCCTCCATTCTCCTCTAGGGATCTTGGGCATGCACGCACATGAGCCTGGAGTGAGTTTAAACCACTGGGTCTGGGACTTGAACTGCAGTCGACTACATGGGAGTCCAGCCACATAGCCATTACACTAACTGCTGACCCCAGCATCTGAAATTTCTTGGCAACAGAAAGATAGCTAGGGTTGATCTCAGTTCTATTACAAGATTTTTTCCTTTTTGCTTTCCATCCAAGGGCCATGCTATCTTTGCCTGCCTCTATATCTCAAAATCCTCTCAGTCTTCTAGGCTCCATGGCCATAATAGGTCCTGTAAGTGTGTGCCTTTTCTTTCTTTTGTTTTTAATAGAATTTTTATTTGTTGTTGTTATTATTTTTAATTTGACCAGAGAGACAGAGTGAGAAAGCAAACCACCAGGTCTGAGACTTGAACCACAGTCAGCCATGTGGGGGAGTCCAGCACCTTAACCACAATGCCACCTGCCAGCCCCTTTGTGCTTTTTCATCCAGGAACTCTTAGCACAAAAAACCTGTTCCTTCAAATACTACAAGCCCAAAGGAAGAACTAAACCTAAAAGTGATAGGAAGAATAGAGATGAGAGATTAAAAACATCAAATCTTGGGGGGAACCAGCAGTTAACATAATGACTTCGTTGCTGGACTCCCATGTAGTCGACCATGGTTTGAGTCCCAGACCCGGTGGCTTAAAACTCACGCTGGGTGTGTGTGTGTGCGTGCCAAAGATTCCAAGATCCCAAGAGGAGAATGGAAGAGAAGAGATTGCGGTGTGGCCATCCCCCCCGGGGGGG